CAAAAATGAAAATGGTGCATCAAAACACCCAAAGGACAGAAAGTTCACAGGAACCACTGCCCCTCCCATTTAAAACTCAGGTCAAGTTACAAGTGACAGAAGAACAGAGATTCTTGTATTGATTACTGTAAGCCAGCACATCTTTGAAATCTATAAAAGTTGACAGATGCCAAATGGCAATATTAACATCCCTAATTGGAGCCAAAATGTTATGCTCATGGCGAAAGGGAGTTTTCACTAGAGCAACGCTGGTACCACCAATGTTTAATCCTGACTCAGTGCCAACGGGCCCAACCCTACCCACAATTCCACACTGCTGCTGCACCAGCTGATGTCACAAAGGCTGCTGGCTGTCCAGGTTGGAGTAACTGCAGAGTGTCTGCATCATACATGCCACCCTCCAACTCGCGGGGCTCTGGAGAAGCCGAGCATCCGCAGGGAGGATGTGAATAATTAAACTGAAGTCCTTGCAGCTGAGCTCTACATGATGCCTGTCCCCGCACTCATTCTGTGGCCAAAGCGTCCTGTAGCTGTGAGCAGAGAGGGCATAACTGGAGCTGACGTACCTTTTAATCTACCACATTTATGACAGAGGAAAAAAAACTGTATAATGGTGATCGTTCTGGATGCAATGACAAGTACTGGGCTGAAACTGCCATGGGCTAAAAACTCATGTCAGATTTTTTAGACTTGGCTGTTCCATTTAAACTACAAGGCGACAAAAGGCAGGGTCCCCAAGGTGGTCATTTAAACTGGACCGCAGCTGCAGGCCTGGTCATTACAAGCCCAGTAAAGCCTAAATCTGCCGTGGTTCCCCCGCTACTCACTCTCCAAAGGGCCAATCAGCACCCCAACATTCACCGACAAATGGTGCCTCGATTTAAAGCATTCACTTCAAAGCGATACTATCCCTGTAGGTTCCGACTCGTAAATTAAAGAATAAATAATTCACATCTGCGCTCATTAAATGAAAAGTTGTTTATTCCACAAAAAAACCTTGATAAGCACCATGACTTATTCATGGAGGGAAACTCCCCAAAAACCGGAGGGGTGGAGAGGAACAAACCGAGGATCGATGTAGGAATGCGTGAGTGAGAGCGAGCTCGGCCTGCTTTCAGAGGACAGCAGCCTGCCCGCTGCTATGCCAGAGCGCCAACATCCCCCCTGCAGTCGCCATGGCAACAGCTATCCCTGGATGAGGGCCCTGTCAAAGATTTCAGCACTGGAGTAGGACGTGGGGTGGCAAAAAAAAACCTTCCCAGGGTTCTGTGGGCCTTCTGAACCCTGACAGACTGATTACATTACATTACGTTTGTTTAGACTGACACACAGGAAGGGGATGGCTGAACTAGTTCCAAAGGATGTTCCAAAGACAGCGTCTGTCACATTTCTTCAATACAAGAATAGAACATGGAATTTTGATATTTACAAAGTATTTGGAAGATTAGCTTTATAAACACAGTTTTTAGAAAGGGGTCTACTCCAACACACTCGCCACTTGATAAAGAATAGCTCTCCCCACCCTCCCAAAAGAGCTTCCTGTGCCCTCTGAACACAGAGGTTGTTATCATATGAGAGGTCGAGTTGGGACACAAGTTTTTTGTTTTTTTGCTTTTTTCTTTTTTATAAACACAGGACAAACAAGAGTGTCTATTCAATTCAGCATGAAAAAGCCGACTTCCTGCGGGAGGGTGCTGAAGTCCCCCATTCCCCCCCCACCCTTTTGGAGGTTTTGGGTTCTGGCAGTCTCCCCTTCTCTCTCTCCTCCTTGCTTCTTACAAGAGGCTGCAACAGTGCAACAGAGAAATCCACCTTGCCGTTGTCATGGCAACTGGCAATCTGAAGATCAAATTCTCTTTTATTGATACAATCTACTGATTGACTAGGGGCCAAAATGTGTCTTTTAAGCGCTAAACGGCCACTAAAAACTCACTTTGTGGCCGCCGCGATTAATGCAGTGTCAGAAATGAGGTGCCCATTTTATATCTGACTGCAGGCAGAGGAGATAAAAGTGGCGAGCGATTGAGTTTAACAGGGGGATAAAAGACACAGTGATGAAGAGCGGTCAAAACGGAGTGATCACACACAAACACACATTCCCTCTCTCTTTCATCTGGCCCTTTTACTTTCTGTGAACCCTGGCTGTACACTCTCTCTCTCTTTCTCGGTCTTTCTCTCTCTCACACGCACACACACACACCTTCACACACCCTCGCACACCCCACAGCTGGCATCTGATGACTATATTAAGAGAGCTTTAATGTTTTCTGGCAGAGACACGCACACAGAGACAATTACACAGAGGGAGCTTCTCCCTAGCACAGTTTTCACCTGAAGCCAGTGGGAATAGCCTGTACGCAGGCAACGACAGTTTCTACACTGCCAATCACATCACCGGCCCAGTTCATTCCAGCACCGGCCCAGTTCATTCCAGCACCGGCCCAGTCCATTCCAGTACTGGCCCAGTCCGTTCCAGTTGTTCCATGAGAGACTGATGGGTAGGAAGAGGAGAATGATCAGCAAGGCTGTCAGCGGGCGGCAGGCGTGTGAAGGGGAAGGATGTAGAGACAGGACACATGAATTATTCTGTCCTCTGCTCTCCAGATGAATACCCGGTGAGCACTCCCTTCCACAGACCACACTGTACAAGAGGTCCCTTCCTGCACCTCCATTTACCGGAATGCACGGGAAACGAGGAAACTGAGAAAGCGAAAGTGAAGTCTGAACACTGCCAAACAATGAAGAGACCGTTTACTCCATTTCACTACTTTTTACACTCCATTTTCTCAAGTTCTCCAGAGTTTAGTACGCGTGTGTGCATGTGTTTATGTGTGCGTGTGTGTGTGTGTGTGTGTGTGTGTGTGTGTGTGTGTGTGTGTGTGTGTGAGTGTGGTGTTAGGAGGATAACCTGATACCTGACAGACATAGTTGTCTGCCAGGTACCAGGTTATCTACTGGAATTCTCTATTTGGTATGAGGTTACAGCCACAAATTTAAAGAAGCATTGGGAGAATGTCATGCACACTACAGTTTAATCTCCAGAACTCTGGGGTTCAACACTCTGCTAGAATATTCCACAGAGGGTCCAGGTTGCACCTCAGCAGGTATCTGGGTCATTCCCCTGTGAAATGCCTACCACCACAGTAATTATTTCCAGCACACTCACATCCCAGCCCCATATGGGGGAGTTCCCTGGCACCCCCTAGTGACAAGCTGTTCATCTAGAATGGCACCTTTCAGAAAGACACTTCATTCAAGGACAGGGGAGAGGGGCATTTGAGGCTCAGTGTCAGACTGTCTAACATTAGCCCCCACCTCACCCCGAACCTTCCACTGACATCAACATCAAGCAGTTAGAACTGTGGCTTCCAAACAGTAACAACAAAAGTGAAGTTCAGCTTCTGGCTATGGTTTGAGAATGTCTTTGCCCAAAACAAGCTCTAAAAAGGGAAATAACCATGAGATAATTCTCCCACATTAACAATAATTTATTTCACTATTCCATTTCACTATTCTGACAAAAATGACAAAAACTGCTTTATTTATGTGTAGAACAAATACTCTCTGCATTATTTATATATTTATTATTTAAATAATTATTTTATATTTATTTACTATATTACACATTTTTTATATTAATATATACATAATATATACTATTACACTGTATTCCATTTGATAATAAAAAGTCAAAAACAACACAGTGCTCTAAAAAAATCTTTAATGTCCTGTAACTGTGTAAAGCTTCCCTGAATGCCCCACAACATCTGAAGCAACACGCAGCCAAGATCTCTACTGCCATCTGAAGGCTGGAGGTTGATCCTACCACCGCAGTCTGTTCAGTGCTAGCCAAACTCAAAAGCATTCCTTTTGGCAAACCCAGCCACCCACCCATCGCCCCCCTTCAGGAAGGCACTGACTCCAGACAGAGGGTTACACTGCACGTCCCCAGGAGGATGCTTGGAGCGCTGCCCAAGTCGCTGACTTCACTCTTCAGGCATTTAAGAGTCATTTACTTTTCTTCTCAGAGGTGATCTTCTTACCAACGGAGACCATTTCTGGGAGGAAGCATTCCACATTCGTGAGGCTTAGTACGGGAAAGCGTGTGGGTCTCTGTGCACATCTGTGTGTGGTTGCGCTTGAGTATGTGCGTGTGTGTCTAATATGTTTCTTTTAAAGACACACTGCAACGCTCTTTGATAGACCACATCATTACCACCCTCAAATTTCCAATTCAGCTCCAAGCCTTCAACACAAACTGAACATAAATATTTCCCGTGCTTAGCACTCTTGTCATCCCCCTGAAGGTAATTTCCCATAATGCTTCAAACTGTCGTGTCTTGCCTTCTCGGACATATTGTTCTTATCACAGTAGCAGAACGGTGACAGCCTGGCTTTAACATCACAATTGCTTCCTTTGTATTGAGTTGTCACAGACATGTCTTGGAGCACCGTGAGCACACAGCAGGCCTTACACCCCTCACCACGCCACACTCTCGCGCACCAATCACCGCCGCTGACAGCAATATAGAGCATGCCAAAAAGAACTGGTTTAATGTCACAACAGAATAACCGCCACAGATCATGTCAGAGTACGCTGCCTGCTGGCAGTTCCTCCGATGCAGACAAATCTCTGCATTCTATCCCAGTCACTCTCTTGTGTCTCGTTTGCCAAACCGACAAGCGGAGACGCCAAATGGCGCCAAACGGCGCCAGAATGCCACAGACGCCAGCCCTGTTGCCAAAAAAACCAGAGGTGATCTGTTTGTGTGCCAGGGCACAAATCGCTACTTTAGGAGCCCCTCTGTCATAAGCACAGGACAGCTCTGTGCCTTATAAGATCATCACCAGCACTGCAGTCAGGCTGTTGCATTACATTATTGTCATTTAGTTATCCAGAGCGACTTACATGTGTCTCAACTTTTACCCGTGTATCCATTTATACACCAGGATATTTACTGAGTCAATTGTGAGTTAAGTACCTCATCCAAGGGCAGCAGTACCCCAGTGTGGAATTGAACCAGCAACCTTTGGGTTACGAGCCCTGCTCCTTACCACTGTGCTACACGACCACCCCTGTTACTGTTATAAGGTGCAAAAGGTGCAGCAGGGAAGCTGTGCCAGGGGCTGCACCAGTGCCGAAGTCTGACACAGAGCCCAGCGGTCAGGGCAGCGCAGAGCTCTTCATGGGGCTAACAGCGTCTCCCAGAGGAACCCGGGCATATGGCTTTCTGGAGTGGCGTCAAACGCTATTTAAATATTAACGTCGTAAAAAAGGTTTATGGAATCAGTGTGTTTCTATTGGACACTGTGCCCAAGTTTGCAAGGCATGCAACAGCGTATTAGGGGCTCATAACCTTCCATTCAGCCCAATTTGTGAATGATTCCTCTGATAGACACTGTGTGCTTTTATACAGCTCACTTACGTCCCTTCAGTAAACCCAAGCAGAGTTTAAACTCATATGCTGCTGCTGCTGCATTTTTTTCTACCCTATAAAGTAAAATCTGAAAATTAGAGTATTTTAGGCTTCCAAAATATAGCAAATTAACAGCATCCCTTTAAAAAGACAGAAATGTTACTGTCCTAGCAGATCTCCTAACAAGTCAACAGGACAACAACTGAATAGACACCATTCCAACTCCATAGACACCATTACGGTGTCTGACATGAAAAATAGTGAGACAATCAGACTCAGAATGATCTACTCACATAATTCAGTGAGTCTTACGTTATCAGACTTTGCTCTGTACCCTCTAGTCAAACTGTCCTCCTTCCCACACACCTTGAGCTACACAAATCAGTCTGTCAGATCCGAATGTTTTATGCACAACTAAGCCATTGAACTTACGAGCCTGTGTCTGGCATGAGCAGTGCATGACTTGCAAAGAATCCAACTATGTAAAGAAAGAGCACTTTTGTGCTTCTAGCCATTAAACCCTCTGTATAGATGTGAAAAGCAAGAATTTGGTAATAAAACTGTTTCCTTTAAATTTTGGTTGTCAGCTTAATATTTCAAAGGAAAAAAAACTGATTATCCACAATCAACTGGAACCTATTGGAAGCACTGTGACTCTAGTACGTTTACTTGTAAGTACCATAAAGAAGTACGTATAGTCTTTTCATCTGGAGCCAGTAACAGAATTTAAATTCTACTTTAGAATACATTTATAAAAGGGATACCAAGGGAACTTAAATTTCATTTTTTAGCTCAATATAAATATTTTTAAACTTTCACAAAATGAATAAACATTTGCAAGGCCTCCAGGCAGTGCCACTGTTATCATCTAAAGCCCACAAACACCTTCTCTGGCCCCATTCATTCACTGCTAATTCTATTAAACCCTTCAGCCCTTGTTCAACAATAGCTTTCTTATGTCAGATCCCCAGGATGCTGTATTGTCAGTTCAAAATATCGACTGATTTATTGACCCTGAGTCCAAGATGTACAGTATTCGCCCTGAGAGCAGAAAGCTCAGCTGCAGTATGACTTTAATATCTGTGTGCCACTGTGATAATCAGGCTTCGGTACAATGCAATATTACAAACCCAAGCAAGCATCATGAAGAGGGTGTGAAAGGATACTTTTGACCTGAATTCAATCTGTTGTAAAAGTGAGTGTGTACACAGCCTTAGTCTGCCTCTAATTCCAGGCATCCTTCAGCCTACATATGGGTCTCTGGGTCAGTGCTCTCAGAGTGTCTTCCAGGGCGTCTTCTACAACTATCAGTGTGAGCTGAAGCGACAGGAGGGGATATTCCTGAGCTTTAAATACAGTCTTCTTGCAAGGTCTGCATCACCCAGAGCTTATTGCTTCAAATCACACTGAATACTGAAGCTCCTCTGACCTGACAGTTTGACAAATTTCCAGAATATTCCCTATGGTACCTCCTAAGTCCTCTTTCCTGAGCACTTCAATCCATAGCAATGATTTGTAACTGACCACATTTCATATTGGTGATGTGGCTGAATAAAGGAGAAACCTCAAATAAAGGGAGCTGGAGCTGGCCTTGCTTATTTTATGCAGATATAATTTTATAGGGGAAAGGTAAAAAAGCCGCAATACATCCAGGCTGCATCACAGAGTACACAACACTTCTGAGTAATCCAATTCAGCTCACCCCCATCAAGACCTCATGAGTGAGACAGGCGCCTGCATGGTAATCTCTGGACTGACAGCGAGTGTGTCTGTGCACCTCCTGTGTGTTTTCTCTCCTTGTCACGTCTCCTCCTGCACTGAGCTCTGAGCGCAGGCTCCATCCACCCCGGCCTTTTTCCGTGCCACTGTAATTAGTGGGCGACGTGCGCCTCCTGACATGCCACTCACATAGGGCCCCGCTCCGCCACCTGTTCCCTCAGGGCCAATCAGAGCTTCTGGCAGGAGAGGATCGGGCCCCCCCCCTTCATTTGCAGCTCCCTCCTTCACACACATCCCACTCCACCAGCTATGTGCGGTCGTGAACACGACACAGAAAAGACTTCCAAAGCTTACCTGACACATTTGGCTAATCTGGCGTAGCTGCAAGAGGCACCACGCTGCGAACCCAAATCATAATTGGCCAATGGCAGAAATTTGCATTTACATTACATTACATTTACTCATTTGGCAGACACTTTTATCCAAAGCGACTCACAAGCGAGGCAGAGTAAAACACAAGAAAGTAGCTACATAACCCACATAAGGAGTCAACAATATTAGAAGCGTTGCATTACCATGTTCCAATAGCTGGCCAGGCAAGGTACAAGCTAGCTAGTAGAAATGCATACGAGGAAAGACCTTCAAATGTCAAAGATCAAGACGGACTGTAAAATTTATAACTTATTCTGATAAGAGGAGTAGGCTGGTTTTGAAGTGCTACTGTCTGACGTCTGGTGTCAGCGTCCCCTGAGTCACCAGTAGCAGGAGGGAGCCAAGGCGCCTGCTTGTCAGAATGACATCCCTCTGCACTGAGCACAATGCTGCTGTCTCTCCCACTGAAGCTGGCACAGCCAGATAGTGTTTAAGAACGTGTATCAGAACTGGCCTCCAACGGAACCAGAGCACAACCTCACCTCTCACTTCCCTCCAAGAGAACATGTATCCCACAGCTCAGTAGCGGTGAAGTGAACAGTATAAACTGACTAATACACATCAACAACAGAGAGAGAAGCGTTCAAGTGCCGTCATCCTTCATTAAGAAGCATTATAGTGGCATCTTACACAGAAAGTGCAGAGATATATAAATATACAGCAATAAACACATAGTTACTGGACTTCAAGTAACTGTACATGTGTATAAAGTAACTGTAAGTGTGTGTGTGTGTGTGTGTGTGTGTGTGTGTGTGTGTGTGTGTACATATACATACATCCAAAGCAGTTGCCAGCCCTAGTTAACGTTTTTGGTAGTGATGCCTGCCTTGAATATAATGGCATGATTATTCAGCCATAGAAGATGAGTAATTTTTGAGATTGACAGGGAAGGTTTTGAGAAGTTTACGGTTTGTGACAGCACAAAGAAATACAAACTACTGCAGTAGTTACCAGTGGTCTTACTGCTCTGCAGTGGAGCATACGGACTAGTGCTGATTTGCTGAGAAAGAATGCAGTCTGCAAAGAAAATACAGCCACCTACTTTGCATTGCCATGACACCGCATAACCATTTGCAAAACCAGCGGAAAGTCTAAATGTTTTACATAATTATTGGAATAATTCATGAGCAGCATCCCGTGACATATTGTACTGTCCAACCACTCCACACATTACAAGTGTAGACATTGGATTAAACAGCCACAATGTTCCTGTGGAAAATATCTGCATGTTAAACTATGTGACAACGCTGGGTTCTGGGTGCATCGGGAACGTTTGTATCCAACATCAGCCGTGCATGTCTGCTTAGGGATGGCCGGAGAGGACTGTGTCATGCCAAGGGTTTTTCCCACAGTCTTGCTCTGAAACGGAGCGTATTGCGCAGATACGGAGCGGACAGATGCGTGAACATGCGAGAGGAAATGGCGGAGCTCGCAGAGACAGAATGTTCCGCTCCTCCTTGGTGTCAGTAGCAGAAGGTGAGAATCCTCGCTGAACTCTGCACCAGATGGCCGAGACGAGGCTCCAAGAAGCGGCGTTGACATGGAAGCGTGGAAGAGGAGACCGAGATGGAGCTACAGTTCTCCGCAAGCGCCGCAGCGATAGTATCAGATCTTCCTCTGTTCTGAGTTGAAACTGCTGGTGACGATATTCAACTCACTAGCAAAACACTCACTACGCATTCTTTATGCCATTCTCTAAGACAGCAATGACAACAGTGATGCAGTCAATCTCAGTCTAACCAGAGAGTGCATTGACCTTAACATTGAGTTATGAATTTAAGCAAATTTTACAGCTTTGAATTCTCACAGAACATAATTTCACCACTTGTCACTACTGCCAAACTCAGACTATTGTGTGCGTATGAGAAAAGTAGCAGTCGCTTAAATTTTGGTTTCTCAATGTCTGACAAAACCACACTGAAATTAAATGTGATGTGTGCCATAATATCTGCTTAGCAAGTGAGTCTTACACAGAGGTAAAAATGAATAAATGAGAAATCATAAATGTATCCTTTCACTGAAAAAGAGTATGTTCCGTCTTCCAGAGTACATATCGTTGCTTTGGAAAAAAAGCTGCCATTTTCCCCCTTTAAACCAGTATAGTAGAAACATTAACAGATCGAATGTGTCCAGCAGACACAGACCGGCTCAGGCCGCTTGTTCCTTAATAGCTCAGAGTGTGCTCTATTGACCGTTCTATTGACCACCTGGTCGATGCGCCTATCTTTTCGGTCCCATTAATACCACTGACATCACAGCCTGACCGCAAGCGCAGAGACAGGCTAAAAACACACTGAATTTGTTAAATGTTCCATGCTCCCACGGTCTGGAAGTTTGACAGGTTTTCTTCTGCATTCAAGAATCCTGGCAAATCTGAAGTCTTGTCACTAAGTGAAGAATGGTTTTTCATTTTTTTTGTCCTTACTGAAAGCAGTATTTACAAATAAAACTCACTTGTTTTGTTCTGAATGATGTCACCAAGCTGCCAGTGGAATAGTATGAAG